TTTCTTTCTTTCTTTCTTTCTTTCTTTCTTTCTTTCTTTCCTTCTCGGTTCAAGTTTTCTTCCACAAAATAACTAATATGGAAATATGTTTTACATGATTGCATATGTATAACCTATATCAGATTTACTGTCTCAGGGAGGGGCTATGGGATGACAGAAGGATAGAATTTGGAACTCAAAACTTAAAAAACCCTTATGTTAAAAACTGTTTTTACATGTAACTGGAAAAAATGAAATAGTATTTAGAGTGAAAAAAAATGACCTCTCCATTTGTTTTCTAGGTCAGTTGTTTTTGATGATCAGATATCTTATATTTTCTTCCATTTTTCAATCTTTCAATTTTGTTCTAATATTTCTTGCTGACTTATGGAGCCACTGATTTCTATTTTGTCTTTTTTTTTAATTTTCAGGTATTCCATTTCTTGGGTTTATCACTTTCTCTTTCAAGCTACTTATTCTCCTACTAATTCCTTCCTCAAGAGCTTGCATTTAATTGTTTAACTTTTGTTTCGTTTTTTTCCTAGGTTTTCAATAGACCTTTGTGGGACATTATTTTTTTCTTTTGAGTTTTTGCTTTCAGTTGTTATGGATTAGATTTGCAACACATTTTTGATACCGTTTGGTGTTTTCTTTGATTTATTCATTTCTCCAGCTTTAGTTCCTGAATTGGAGATTTGTGCCAGGGTCAGTCTTTGTTTCAGTGCAGATCTGAGTAGGGTAGTTGGCTCTACTTGATCTTACTCTTGGTCCCCTGGGGTTTTTCAGTGACTTCTACCTCCTAAGATTAGAATCCCCTGGATCTTTGAGGTTCAGAGCACTGGATGCTCAGAACAGAAAGTCAGGATACTTAGAAGACCCTGGGCCTGGGCTTTCTCAGTCTGAGCACTGCAGCTCTATACTGAGCAGAAAAGTGCTTCTGTTCCCCGCCACTACTGTTCTCTAGGGCTTCTAAGGTCCCTATCCTGAGGCTGACAATCCTGAGGATATGCTACACACATTCTATCTGTGGTTGGATCCATGCTCAATTTGATGGAGACAGGATGAGTGGAGAGAAAGGGCCTATTCTTATTGCTTGTTCAGTTCTGAGGTAGAAAATGTCATGATGTCATTTTTCATTTAATTTCTTAATCATTATTTGGTTTGGTGGGAATTTCAGAGTTTTCTGGAGTAGCTATATGGAAGCTGGGAAAGCTGACCTCCAGTTTAAGCAGCCATCTTGGCTCTAAGTCTGGCCATAGTACTGTGCTTCCACTGAAATATTCCTCTAAAGCCCCATGACGACATGGAGGTGACTTTGAGTTCTTGAGGCCAATATCTTTGAAATTCAAGCTTCCTTTCCTAAAGCTTAAAGTATAGGTGAGAGAGGTTCATCTCTAGAACATTGGCCAAGTGACAACTTTTTCTTGGTCACATTAACTCAAGAAATAGATAAATACACAAAATATTCCATGTGTTCTCCCCTTCCATTTTAGTGGCAATGTTAACAGAGTAGAAGAAAGAAAAACAGAGAGTACTAAAAATCACACAATTCTAAGATCAACCCCAAATTTTAATTCATCCATCATCATTCAATATAAAATCTTTGTTCAATCACCAAAGGTTTGAAACACGACTGGGGGAATTAAACAATGTTTATGACAATCTCACTACAAATGAAAAGATAAAGATGTCACAGATAAAAGAAAGCAGGACATAAAATCCTGTGAGCATTAGCAGAGGAAAAAAAGCTTAAAAAGATGAGATTTTAATTTTTGGAGAAGTTTGCATTTTTTGAAAGTCCTGAGCAATTTCCCAAATGCAATTCAGTCAGATCTTTTTCTTCTGTCCAATTCTGAGCCCAGTTTATTATCCATTTGTAGTGTCTAAAACATATCTACTGATGATCTTGCTTTAGGGACCTTTTGTCCATTAAATAACAAGATTTGGAAAATAGATTTCCTTTATTCATTTGGTTTTTCCTATGGGCACAGTTATGACAAACTTATTTGAATGGTCTTGGATCTCATATTCAGGAGCCTCTGCAACGTTCCAGAGTTTTGGTGCAATCAGCACACTGTCTCTAATTGTCCTGATTGATATCTGGCCACTGGACCCAGATGGCACTGAAGGAGAAAGTAAAGCTGGTAACTTTGCACAGCCCTCCCTCACTAAATCAAAGTCAATCGCAAGTCATATCATAATCATGTCATGGTCCTTTATAAGAATGAAGGACAAACCATACAACCTACAAACAGAAGCATCTTCAGGAAGTCACGGTCTATCAGAAATCCCTATTCAGTACTAATCCCTAGTCAATCCCTGGACTCTTTTGGACTTCCTTAGGAACAATTTTACTCTATCAAGTTGAAATTCTTTTGAAGTGAACAAAAATATTTTTTCAAGGTTTTGAATATTAAGTTGATAATATGAATTGATAGTCACTGATACCTTCTCAAGCCCCACCACTTTTGCTAGTAATAACATCTGTAATTTTTTTCAGTAACTATTTGATATCTTCCCTTCTTTCTTTCAGATATCTTGAAAATAGATTCTTCAGTACCCTCAAAACTGTGCTGCCTCTAGCACAAACTTCCTCTAAAGGTTCTCATCTGGCCCACTTGCTGCTCTTGCCTTTATTAGTCTGGGAAACACTGGAGAATATGATGTTAGAGTCTAAAAGTGGGGTTTGTCCAATGACTGTGGAGTCATTGATGGGCAAGATGATTCGTTATAGGAAACTTTCATAAAAAACAGATTGATCATATTAGAGAAATTTTAACTTACAGACAGTGGATACAAATCAATCTTCATCAAAATGAGAATTACCTCAAACAGAAAACTAGTTTGAATTAGGAACAGAACCTTAAAACATTTGGGTTTATTGAAAATTATTAACCATCAATATAGCCAATTAATCTGAAATTATTTACATTTAAATAAATGTATTTTGATACATAAAATGTTATCCTTTTAGTCATTCTCTCCCAGTTTCTGTTAGTTTTTACTCTACCTATTCATTCTCATTAACTTTTAAATTCAATTAATAGAATAATGGATTTCAATTTGGAAGGAAACTTATAAGTCATCTCATTTAACATCACTTTATAGATGAAGAAACTAAGGCCTAGAAAAGTTAAGTGATTTGTCTGCCAAGCAGCAGAATTGAGATTTTAATCTGACTACAAATCCAGCACTCATTCTTCCAAATAAATATAATTAAATCCAACAAACATTAAAAAGCATCCACTATGTATGAGGTTCCAGAAATACAAAAACAAAACAAAACAAAAAAACAAAAAAGTCTTTGCCTTCATAGAGCTTCCATTATATTAAAGGATACATAATATAAATAGACAAATAATTAC